GCTGGTGAACTTGGTAGCATCTTCGTCCTTTTCAGCAAAGAATACCAGGCTGGAAAATATCATGATCCCCATGGCCAAAAACAGTATCAACAAGCCCAATTCATTGTAACTCCGTCTGAGGGTGAAACCCAGAGACTGAAGTCCAGTCGAATGTCTGGCGAGTTTCAGGATCCTGAGGATGCGCATGATTCGGAAGATCTGGACCACACGCCGCACATTCTGGAACTGCAGCACGCTCTTGTTGGACTCCGTGAGGAAAATGGTGACATAGTATGGTAAGATGGCCAGCAAGTCAATGACATTTAGAGGGCCCTTAAAGAACTTCCATTTATTTGGTGAGGACAGGAACCGTAAAAGGTACTCCATGGTAAACCAAGCAATACACACAGCCTCCACGTGTGCTAACTGGGGGTTGTCATTGGGATTTCCGAATTCATCCACCTCCTGCAGCTCTGGTAGAGTGTTGAGAGACAGAGCAATGGTGGAGAGTACGATGAACAGGATAGACACGATGGCCAAGATCTGGAAAGGAAAAGAAAGCCCAGATCAGCACATCCTTAGTTGCTAATAGGGGATATTTGGGACCATGATTCTTTAAATGACAGGGAATACTCCAGGTTTTTCCAAGAAGGTGTTAAGAAAGTAATTTTACAATCTAAAATTCCCTAAGTGATACACATACATGTACCTAAGGAATCCCGGGACCTAAGCAATTTGAAAAATCCTCACTGCTCACTGCTCTTAAGCACATTTGTGTGAATATCCACCATTTGGATGAGGGCCTATAGGGCTGGGATCATTTTTTGGATAGGAATAATCTCTCCTCTTGTGATTATTTACATCATTTTCTCTGTTAACCACTTGGCTTGTGTTTCCTTAAGTGAACTGTCTTACATGCCACATAAGCTATTATACAAAGATCCATGATCTCCAGGAGCTCTATTTTTTATTTATTTTTTCTTTTTTCTAAAAGATTTTTCCTAAAGGGCATGTGCATTTGCCAGAAAGACAGAGAGACAGCAAAATATCACCCCCTGAGGGGATGGCCATGCCACAATCCCTTCTCTTCCATTCTCTTCTTGGGATTTCGAATATGTGCCTGGTGTGATTTTCAGGCTGCTGGTCTGGGACTTGAACTGTAGTGGCCACATGGGAGTCCAGCGTCTTAACCACTACACGACCTGCTGACTCCTGGGCCTTTTATTCTACAACTAAGAACACAATGTAGACCTACACCTGGAGAGAGAACATGACACTCAGTGCAACAGTGCTTCTCCCAAGAACAAATACTCTATGTGGAAGGCATTGACATTAGAACAAGTCAGAAGAGTCCTTGGGAGGTGTGGACTTTTGGCCTGCATCACGTGGGAAAGGATGATTATGAGCTGACTTCTTTTAGTCAAGGAAGATTTCATATACAAGAGCTCAGGGCTGACCCTGTGATCTAGCTGTTAAGGGAGCTGGATCTCATACAGCTGACTGAAGTTCGAATCCCACGCCTGGTGGCATAAAAAGCATGTTGGGCACATGTGCATAAAAGCCCCAAATCCTGATGGGATGCAAAAATGGAGGGGAGGGACTGCAGTGTGACCACAGGCCACAGGGAATTGCTTTCTCCCTCTCTCTGTCCCTGTCTTTCTCTGGAGTGTGCACATGCTTCCTAGCAATTAAAATAAATAAAACAAAAAACATATAAATAGAATTGTTTGAAGAACGTCCAGGATGTTCTCAGTGTCAGGTAAACAATCTCGACAGAGCAAATAGCAGAATGTCAGACCGAGAAGCAAAGAGGAAGAACCCAGAAAGAAGAGGATTAAATGACTGCGGTTTAGAATGAGGCAGTGTGAGCTGTGATCCTGGTTTTCCCAGTTACTGTGTGCCCTGGGGTGAGTTATTAACCTTTCTGTGTCTTAGTTTACCCATCTGTTATATGAAGGCAACAACCATAGCTAATTCATCACTGCTGTAAAGGTTACGTGGTACACAGACACGGTTAAATAAATGGAAAGTATGTTCATTGTTCCAGGCTACAATGACTCAGGACTTTGTGCGGAAAGATAAAGGTCAAGAATAGCTATTTGGGAAATCTATAAAACCGTACAAAATAGAGACAGCTCCAGTAGAGAGTTCTTCATCATAACCCAGAGTTCTATTCATAGATTACGGGCAAAGCAGAAGATTGAGGTTTACAGGCAATACAAAGAGGCACTTCCCTGCTGGGTAAAGATTGTACATTTGGAACGCGCAATTCTTGGTGGAGTAAGAAACTTTCTACCTAGGTTAGATCTGGCTTGGTTTCATGTGACCTTAGTTAATGACCTTGGGAAGAACCATTGGTCTGTTACTATACATAACTTTGAAAAGAGTATCCTGACAGTGACTGTTTTATTTGGAAATTCAGCATCTAGTAAACATGTTGAAGGACAGTGATTAACCGTCTTGAGGCCATAGAACACAGCACACATTAGACTGTGAAAAAATTAGTTTATGTCAACACTGACTTTTTTCTCCCTCCATTTTCTTTTCTTTATCCCTCTAAGTTTTTCTCCTTTCCCTTCCTCCTTTCTCCTCTTATATTTCAATACTTTCGTTTTTTTTCTTCCTCTTCTTTCAGATCTGATCTCTCTTCTTAAATTGCTCTAAAGTAAAACCACAATACAATGTCCTTCAGAATGTGCTGTAGGAATTAAATTAAGATTTATGGAACAGTGTTTTATTGTTAGTCTTTCATCTTTTTTTTTCTTAGAACGAGGTTAAGTACTTTCTATTTGAGTGTATCTCAGGATTTCCTTCAAAAATGTGGATCAGTGACTCACAATAAAAAAAAAAAAGGTTCCCTTTATCTATACTAAGAGATCGTGAACTTCCTCTTCTTTCAGATCTGATCTCTCTTCTTAAATTGCTCTAAAGTAAAACCACAATACAATGTCCTTCGGAATGTGCTGTAGGAATTAAATTAAGATTTATGGAACAGTGTTTTATTGTTAGTCTTTCATCTTTTTTCTTAGAATGAGGTTAAGTACTTTCTATTTCAGTGTACTTCAGGATTTTCTTCAAAAATGTGGATCAGTGACTCACAATTAAAAAAAAAAAAAAAGAGGTTCCCTTTATCTATGCTAAGAGATCATGAAGGCTAAAGCTAGAAACTCCCTCAAGAAGATTTAGATAAATCAATGGATAATAGAGTCAGAGGGTTTGTTAAGGGCAATTTGAGAATGCTCACCTCATATCCTACCCTCAGAGGCTAAGGGCAGGTGACATCTACAACATTCTGTCATTCAGATATTCTTGAGGAAGCATTGGTCGGATCTCATCCATTCCTGTGCTCTTACTGTAAGGAACCAGGTGCCACTGCGTATATTCTAGGGTAGCACTGCTGCTAATATACCTTCAGCATTTTAAGTATTAGGTGTGCTACCATCATGCTTGCACTGACGATCCATTTGCTAGATTTTCCACATCTTCTAACCTGTTCACCTGCCCTTTTAGAACACATTTTACTTATGTGGATTGCTTCAAAGGGAAAGGGATAAAGAAGACTTGCAAATGAATCCATTCTTTTATCTTCCAACCTTTTGAACAACAAGCAAAGGGAGGTTCAAGGTGGGCCTTCAGTTTTCCTTGATCCCACAATTAGAGCTAGACTGTGATAATTTTACTTCCACAATTCATTTGGAGAAAGAACAAAACACTCTATAGTGCTAATGGACTCCATAGTTGATCAGAAATTAACAATGTGGCTACCTTTAAGGATTGGGAATTTAGCATCCACACAACATGACTTGGAGTACAGTCAGGAAGAAAAAGAATTATTAAAGGAAAAAGCAAACACTCAAGCCCTTAGCAACCCAACATTCATGTTAAAGGAACCACACGGTATTGAAGTGCGTTATTTTCTATCTCATGTTCAAATTCAATCTGTCAAAACACATTTGCTCTCAATTTAGGGGAATGACTTATTTAAAATATCTGTGAAGCTTGGCGTTTTCCCAGAAAGACAGCACTTTAGGCAAATTATTCAACATATCCCAAAGGTGACATGTAGTGCAATAAGCCAAATGTAAGTTTATTGCCTTCCTGCAGAGCTGTGTGTTTTTTTAGACACATAGATGTAATAAATGTAAAAACTGGCTCCAAGCTACATGATGTGCTTCTAAACATGGATATTTGCTTTAACCCAGAAACCCTTCCAGTGTTTAGGTATTGCTTAATTTATCATGCCTATGCACAAGTGAAGATGTGACTGACTCAGGTTTTCAATCTCTGTCACCTCCAACTGACCTCCAGAGCTGGCAGGAGTCAAACTGTTCCTCTCAGTTCTAGCAAACAGCCTGGTATCTGTACATGGCAAAGAAAGTGGAGATTCAGAGGAACTACGTGTGTGGTGGTCAAACTCCTGGGAGATTTGAACTAAATTCCCTTCACCCCTAACATTTGATCATTCCCTATCTAAACTAAACCATTTTTCTAATTCCAGTCATGTGTGTGAACCAAACCAAGGACAAATCCAAATTAATCCTGACATTTTGGTCAAGTGGCCAAAACAAAATTTTGTTGCTTGAGAAATAAATAGTCAAATGGAAGGCTTTGAGAAACATTATACTAGGTATATTCTAAGCATTTGGCAACTGGAAATGGATACTTTTTTCTGGGTAAAACATTCCGCCCTCACCTTGAATCCCCTGATTATTTTAGTTCTTCAGGAACAGTCACACTCGCTTATCCCTGAGGGGTAAGCACAGGGCTCCCGCACTACCTGCCCCAAGTGGCTGCGCTGATTTCTCTGGTGAGAGACAGTAAAGCAGTCAGAGACTTGTCTCAGTTGTACCAACTAGTTGATTTTCATCTTTTACAGATAATGGGTGTGTTGTGTTGGAAAGAAAAACTAGATGAGGAATTACAATACATGGCTCTACCTCCACTGGCCACAGAGACAAGCCACTTACCTCTCTGAACTTCAGTTGTCTCATCTACAAAATGAGGTCCCTCACCTGCCTTGCTGAGTTGTTAAGGATCACATTGGATCAAACACAGGAAGCATCCTGTAGCCTTTGAAGTGTGAGAAGTGTAAGATGCTGGAGATGGGTCTGGAAAAAGCCTTTGATCAGCACTGGGAGGAAAGTGGCTAATCACTCACTTAAATACAGTTTCCAATGTTGGTATCTGCAACACTTCTGAGTACCTTCTTTCACATACGTGGTGACATGGGGGACAAATCAACACAACCATCTTATTCTGCTTAGGACTGAATAATCTAGTTGGCCAGTGTTTATTGAAGAGTCGGACTGAGGTCAGTAAGTTTTCTGGTGTGGGCCTCATGCGGGATAATCTGCTGAATATTCACCAGCATTTAACGTTCCACAAAAACACACAGGAACTTCTGTGCCTTATGCTGAAGTTCAGTTCTTTACTTTTATAATACGTGTTGTAAAAGTGAGTCATAAGTTCTAGACTACACAGCACTCCTGCTTTCTCTTCCTACTGGGATATGTGCATGAGTGTCAATAGTCCCGTAGATGGGG